GGTTGCCCGTACTGGACCGTTGGGTCGCTTGCGAGATGCGGAGTGGGACGTCGACGTGCGCAGGACGACAGACGGAGCCGCTTCGGGCAGCGCGCACTGCAACGGTCGAATTTCAAAAGGAAGGCGGGCGTGTTCGTCGTCGTCTGTGGTGGTTGTCCGCATATGAAGGTCGAGCGCCCCTGTCGCGAGCATGTCGGAACACACATCTGCAGTGGTCACGTGCGAGGGCGGTTGCAGAGGTGAATTTCATGGCTGACGTGCGGAGGAGATTGCCTCTGCTGGTACTCGCTATCGTCGTCTTCCTGATTGTCGTCTTCCTCTACGTGTGTTTTTCGTGGCGGCCGTGGAAACAACAACGCAAGAGGAGGGCTTCGACGAGACGGGCGGCAGGCGAACGTCTAATGGCGGGCATGCAGGCACGACCGGCTGCTGCCGCACGTCAGGGAGGAGTTCGATCTTCTACGGCGGAGCCTCGACGGCGGTACGACCCGTCCATGTACACCCATCTGGAGTCGTGGGACACGCCATTGCCCCCGTCGGACGAGGAGCCGGAGAAGGAAGAACTTTCGACGTTGCCTCTCGCTAGCGGCTCGACTCAGTTGTGGTCGCAGACGGTGCGAGCAGGCGGGTCGGCTCCCGACGAAGGGGGCGAGTTCACGTCATTGCTCCATCAAGGCTTGCGGGATGACGACGGCGGAGGAGTTGATCTGAGGTTCGAGTTGTGTTCTGGCGGCGACAGGGAGGCGAGTCGTACGTTCATCATCGACGGAGATCGTTCGGCACGTGGCGTTGAGCATGGTGGAAGTTTGCATACGGAGCAGTCCACACTTCGTCGCGCTGCACCCGTGATTGGCACGGTCGGGCCATCGCCAGCGGGACGGCAGCATGGATCGACTGCTCCGTCCGTCAATCGATTGACACCGACCTGGCCCGCACCCCTCGGGGTGGCAGCAGGGCCCCTGCGCATGGGCGGTGCACGTTCGTTGATGCCTGCGTGCACAACACCGGTCGAATCCGGAGTGAGGGACGAGGGAACGTGCAGAGCGCCGGTACATCTACGACCCACTGTGGAGAACATAACACGTGGAGTGTCGAACATGCGGGCACACAGCGATGGAGGCGAAGACGACGTTGGCTTCGGTGATGACGCAGACGAAGGGATGAGGGAAGACGTGGAAGCGGGGGACGACGACGACGACGTTCCAATTCGACCTTTGGGGAAGACGACTGGGAGCGGGAAAGGACGCGGCAGAGGTGGTGTCCGTGGTCGATCCGTTGGCCGTGGAGGCAGAGGTGGCGTAAGTGACGACGCCGGGAAGTCTCCGACGTACTGGTTTGCAGAAGACCAAATGCTCCTGGTGCGATGCAAGCGGGAGCAAGATATGCACCTCGTCGGCTTGTCTCACAATTACGGGCGGATGAAGACGAAAGAGTGGAAGTAGGAGGACATGTCGAAGCGGATGGCAAATGCGGGGAGGCCGAAGGACGCTGACGACTGCATGAAGAAGTGGGACAACTAGTTCCAGAACTACAAGAAAATTCAGAGGTTTCAGAATGCCAGCGGGCGGCCAGATTTTTTCAGGCTGACGAACAAAGAGAGGAAGGAGCACAACTTCAAGTTCCAAATGGACAGGGCGTTGTACAACGAGATCCACGCAGGCATGGTGGGGAACCACACGATTTTCCCTCCCAACGTTGCCGACACCGGCAGTCCGGATGGGGTGCAGCTGCCCAGGCGAGGAGCGGGTGGCGGGGAGTCTGTTTGTAGTGAGGCGGCCGGTGAAGGCTGCCCTGACGAGCGTTCTTCTGCGAGGGAGTCCGACAGCAACGTAGACAGCGAGGCGGGAGGCGGGAAGCGAAAGAACGCGCGTGAGCAGGCATTCGAGTCCATCTCTGATGTCATGGAACGCCATGGCGCACTGATGTCGTCGACGATCGAATCGTCTAGCAAGGGGCAATGCAGCATCTTCACGAGGCAATGCGACATATTGGAGCAGGAAGTTGCCGTCCAAAAAGCGCACTATGCGGCGTCCGATGAGATGCAGAGGATGATGTGCCAAGCACTGTTGGAGATCGCTGCCGCCATCCGTGGTCGGTCGGCCATGTAGGCCATTACGTGCTGTGTTGATCACAGTTGGTTCTTTGCCGTCGTCATGGAGTTCTTTTTTTTTTTTTGGTTGTAAATTTCATGATGTTGCCATTAGCGATGCTCGTGGACGGCTGCCGCGGAAGCAATGCCAAGTAGTTGACGGACAATCGGGGGCGGCGAGAGGGGGGGAGGTGTTTTTTTT